GCTTTTCCAGAAACGTTAACTGCTTTTTCCTTCACAGATGTTGCTCGGCCTGCTGAGCTTTTCCAGCAACTTTGTTTTTACACTCAATCCTAGATTGGCGGGTTAGCCTCGAATTTATGAGCATGTCTCCTGAGGGAGGACTGAAATGCACAACCTTCTGACCCTGGGCTTAGCCAGAGCTAGCAGTTACCCTGGCAACTACTGGAGTCTGAGCATCTGATCTCCTGCCCAATCTCTCAAGAGGGTCAACGGATGAGAGCTAGGATCAAAATGGAAGGCAGTGAACTTACACAAATTATGAGCTTAAAGCCTTTTTCTTCTTTATTTCTCTAGGACGGAGCGTAATAAGATCATCGATGACGCACAACTCTCCTGTCCAGAGCTGAGGCGATCTGCTGCCTCCACCAATGTGTCCGCCCTCAACCTATCCTGCGACAAGGAGTCCACCGACAGCGCTGAGAGTTTAGACTCCAGGAAATGCCAGTCTCCAGTCACAGGCATAGACGATATGAAGATGCCATGGTCCAGCAGGCAGCTCAGTCTCAGTCCGGTACGTGTAAAACAGACAGGAGGAAGGCCCAGGATTGGTGCCAGCAAAGTAATGGAAACTGGAAAATATAGTGCGAGGTATGAGCTCCAGATTTGGACCTTGAGGGCCTCACATCCTGAAGGGGAAACCAGTAACACTTGAAGATGATGTATACTTGATTCAATTCCTCTTGTATACTTCAGAATACAGTACTTCAGGTATTGCCCAGTACCTTCATTTCCAAGTATTACTGGGTTTGTTTTTTGACATTTTTTTGCCTCTGATCAGTGAGATCTGTGCCAATGAAGCTGGACCTCAGAGTGAGGTGTATAATTTTGAAGGTCTCAGGTCAGGGCCTGCGAAGATCTCAAAGTGTTTTCTGTAGAAAGTCCTCATAGTTCTGCAACTGCTGCATGTCACACACAGAGGCCTGTCCCTGTAAAAGTGTCAATCACAGGGAGGCCTGTCCCTGCAAAAGTCTCATTCACAGAGAGGCCTGTCCCTGTAAAAGTCTCATTCACAGAGCGGCCTGTCCCTGTAAAAGTCTCATTCACCGAGATGCCTGTCCCTGTAAAAGTCTCATTCACAGAGAGGCCTGTCCCTGTAAATGTCTCATTCGCGGAGAGGCCTGTCCCTGTAAAAGTGTCAATCACAGAGAGGCCTGTCCCTGTAAA